TCAGTGCATTCACCCTTTACTTGCCCGGCAACCCCACATAACATCTAGTGGGTTTTATTGTTCTAAGTTAATTATTGCACGTTTGGCTGACTAGTCAAATTGTGGGATTATTTTCCGAACAATATTAAAAAAATGTTTTATATTGAACCTTTTGAGTTAGGAATTATTAATTTTATAATATAAACACATTACAATAATTATATAAATAAAAAATATTTATAATATTTAATTAAACTATTATGTAATAAAGTGTAAATTGATATAAATAACATTAATAAAATATTTACTTAATATTAATAAGAAACCGGTTTCGAAACTTAAAAATATTCATATAAACTACATGAAACATATATATAATTATAATTTTTAGATAATATATTTAATGAAAATAAAAAAATTTTTTATTTTCCAACAACATATGATATTGATACAATATATGAATTTTGCCAAAATTGCCACAATATATGAATATATCGTTTTAATTTGAATCAAATGAAAAAATTAATCGCGATATTTCCAATATAGCAACAAAAATCAAAAACATTCGTTGTAATAAAAACTGAAATTAACAGTAGTTTTTGAATTATGTTTTAGACTATTAATTGATAAATTATAATAATATCTTAAATAATAATTCTATTTCTAAGTCTTCTGATTTTTCCTGTTATATTAAAATGTCTTATGTATATTTATAAATTCTATGATATGTTATATGTAAAAACTCTTTTAATTCAAAATTTATACATCAACAAAATTGTTAATCAATAAATATTTGGATGAAGTTATACTTAAATATAATACTGATCATCTATCTTTTTTCTGTATAAAATTTGATGGATTGCAAAATACATGTTTCTGAAGCTATTATTTTCTGAATGTAATTAGCTACTGTTCTCATTACTTAGAAAATATTTAACTGATCAAAATCTCAACAATAAAGGTATTTAATAGATTAAAATACAGTTTTTATTCTATTTTTTCACAGTCAATTTCTCAAGTATAATTGAGTATTAATTATTTCGTACGAGCCCACTACTTTCAATGTGATAAAGATGTAAAAGATGATAAAAATCCACTTACTCAAGATTATTTATTAAATAATGAAATCACTTGATTGAACTATGACAGTATATATATATATATATATATATATTCTTATTAGATTATGAGAACCTTGAATAAAAATATAACCCATAAGGTTTATACTGGATATTTCTCAATATTTATCAGAACGGATAAATTACATATTTTTTAAAAAATTGCGCTCTCTGCTATTATTATATATTCTTTAAATTATTGCACCCTACACAGTTATTAGATCAAGTCATTCTAACTGCACCATGACAAGAGAACATTCTTTTTTTAAGGATTTAAATATATGTCTTTACATACTTCATCAATGAATAAATAAGCAATTTTTTATCACGATATTATATATCAAGTATTTTAAACACTTTACAAATATGTACTATCTTGTCCACAAATAATTCTACCAGCTTACATACTAATGAAAAAGATCGTTAATATACCTCAAGCAGTATATTCCAAACTTGTTAACTAAGTACGCTTTGGAACAAAATTATGTTCATTTAACTTTATAAAACTCAAATAATGATATCCCTCAATGAATTTAGAAACAGCGAAATAAATGTTTTAATGATAAATCCAATTTGAAACATTAATGATTTAATACTTATGCTTATTAGCAAATTTAATAAATTTTTATTTATATTTTAAAACAATCTATTAATTTAATAAACTTATTTTAAATTAAACAAGCCTTTAGAAAGAACAATCATTTACTAAAAATTAAGTATGTAATTCGATATTTAACTTTTAGTATTATAGAATAAAGTAACTTTTAAAAAAATTGATTTAATAACTCAATAAAAATCCAACATATTCTAATTATACTATTTTATTAGTTGTAATCATACTAATTCAACGTGTTAATATTATAGTACATTCTTTATTTTATTTAGTATTGTGTTTGAATTAATTTTATACATGTACAAAGTTGTGTTATTAAAAGCTTATTAAAATGTTATTTATATAATGTATGTACATTGAAATAAAAAAAGTAGCAAAGGGACTTAAACAATAATTCTAATAATATAAAACAGTATTATATATTTAGTAATATCAATGTTTACAACATAATGACTACATATTGAACTAAAAAATCACCTAAAAAATGTTATAAAAATACAAATAAGATGAAAATAATAAAAGAAATTTTAAAACAATAAATCAAGATAGATAATTACTACAAATAACAATATTTACATTATAATTTTACGAAAATTATTTTAAGAATACAATAATTCGAAATTATTTAGAATTTGACTAGGTCCACCAATTTACTGGTGGAAGAAAAGTGTAGATAAGTGGAAAGGGTAGCGCTTCAAATCAATATTTAATACATCTGCTTTTCGTGCTGTTTATTGCGTTTTAATTACAACTACACTATAATGATTCTAAGTTGACTATGAGAATCATTGAGATCTTGCAGTTCCTTGGTGGTTGCCACGTGGTGTTAGCATGCATTACATGTAGAGGTAGGAAATCGTAAATCTCCGGATCCTCTTAACGTGATA